TTAGGGGTATGAAAGTCCTCAGTAGCTTACTTTACGTTGATACTAGTGCCACCTCACAGTAAAAGTACTATTTTCCCGTAATTTTTACATAATTTATTAAAAGATGGCGCCACTGTGGGTATTTATTACTTATACCGAAGCCTAAATCATGCTAGCAAAGTTTTGAAATACGCCGGTATATATATAGAATAATTCATTGTAATTTTTTTTCAAACAAACAATAAATATTTACATAAAACAAATTAGTTAATATTTAAATTAAATTAAATTGATTTCCTTTTAATTTTATTGAAATATGTACAAAATAATACTGAACCTAGGTGATGCGCCCTCTAGTGTAATTTTCAGTAATTTATAATCCCCACGCCATCTATAAAAGCGCAAAAGAAAATTTCCTCGTTTCGTTACCTAATTATTTTTCAAAGTGGCTCATCTATGCCTGAAAACTGTAGAACGAGTGCAACATTTAAATTACGAATTACTTCGATTATTTTAGTTTAAAAGTCAGAGGCTCTAATATAATCTTCGATGTAATATTTAGACATGTATGTTAATATATAATTTATGATTGTTATGCAGTAATATAATAGTAGTAATATAGTATTATAAATGTCTAAAATTACATTCTTTCTATTCTCATTTATTTCTATAATGTTTATACACCAGATGGAAGTTAGCGTAGAACATTCTTTTTTTTAACTGAACTATATGCCAATTAATTGCTCCATAAATGCTCCAGCAGAATCAGTAATTGCTCCACCTATATTATTATTAGTTAATTTATAATTAATTTTTACAAAATTTAAGTATCGAAAATTTAATTTTGCTATAAAATATAAAATATCTACTTTTTAAAATTAAACTGTATGCCAATTGATTGCTCCATAAATGCTCCAGCAGAATCTGAAATTGCTCCACTTCTATTGTTATTAGTTAATTTAAAATTAATTTTTAAAAAATTTGAGTATCGAAAATTTAATTATGCTATAAAATATAAAATATCTACTTTTTAAAACTAAACCGTATGCCAATTAATTGCTCCTTAAATGCTCCAGCAGAATTTGAAATTACTCCACCTATATTGTTATTAGTTAATTTATAATTAATTTTAAAATAAATTAAGTATCGAAAATTTAATTTTGCTATAAAACATAAAATATCAATTTTTTTAAATTAAACTGTATGCCAATTAATTGCTCCTTAAATGCTCTAGCAGAATCCGAAATTGCTTTACCTCTATTGCTATTGATTAATTTATAAATAATTTTTAAAACATTTAAGTATCGAAAATTTAATTTTGCTATAAAATATAAAATATCTACTTTTTAAAATTAAACCGTATGCCAATTGATTGCTCCTTAAATGCTCCAGCAGAATCAGAAATTGCTCCACCTATATTATTATTAGTTAATTTATAATTAATTTTAAAATAAATTAAGTATCAAAAATTTAATTTTAATATAAAACATAAAATATCATTTTTTTAAAATTTAACTTTATGCCTATTGATTGCTCCTTAAATGCTTCAGCAGAATCTGAAATTGCTTTACCTCTATTGCTATTAATTAATTCATAAATAATTTTTATATATATTATAAATTATGTTTACTACTTATGAATACAGTTTAATTATAGACTTCGAAATCAAACTGATCCTACGTCTCACTTTAAAAAAATATGGGTATAAACAACCAGATGGAAGATAGCGCAGAACATTCTTTTTTTTAACTAAACTGTATGCCAATTAATTGCTCCATAAATGCTCCAGCAGAATTCGAAATTGCTCCACCTCTATTGTAATTAGTTAATTCATAATTCATTTTTTTTAAATTTAGGTATCGAAAATTTAATTTTGCTATAAAATATAAAATATGTACTTTATAAAATTAAACTGTATGTCAATTAATTGCTCCTTAAATGCTCCAGTAGAATCTGTAATTTTTCTGTCTTTTGCTATTAGTTAATTTATAATTAATTTTGAGATAGAGTGATCCTATTTGAGTAATAGCGCCATCATCAATAGAATGTAGTAACATTTTATAGTTAAAGTCATTTTATCGAACAAAAATTGATTGACTCTCAAGGTGGTACGTAGAAAAGAATCTAGATGGCATAAACACAAAAATATTATTAGCATGGTTGTCTAATCCATTCATAAGAATCCATAATTTCAAAACTCACCCATCAATACTTTTTTTTTGTTTTATGCCATTAGGCATCTATTCTACGTACCACCTTGATTGTCAATCAATTTTTGTTCGATAACATGACTTTAACTATAGAATGTTACTACATTCTATTGATGATGGTGCTATTTCTCAAATAGGATCACTCTATCTCAAAATTAATTATAAATTAACTAATAGCAATAGACAGAAAAATTACGGATTCTACTGGAGCATTTAAGGAGCAATTAATTGTCATACAGTTTAATTTTATAAAGCACATATTTTATGTTTTATAGCAAAATTAAATTTTCGATACTTATAAGTTTTTTAAATAATTATAAATTAAGTTATAACAATAGTGGTGGAGCAATTTCGGATTCTGCTGGAGCATTTAAGGAGCAATTAATTGACATACAGTTTAATTTTAAAAAGTAGATATTTTATATTTTATAGCAAAATTAAATTTTCGATACTAAATTTTTTTAAAAATTAATTTTAAATTAACTAATAACAACAGAGGTGGAGCAATTTCAGATTCTGCTGGAGCATTTAAGGAGCAATTAATTGGTATACAGTTTAATTTTTAAAAGTAGATATTTTATAGCAAAATTAAATTTTCGATACTTAAATTTCTTAAAAATTAATTTTAAATTAACTAATAACAATAGAGGTGGAGCAATTTCAGATTCTGCTGGAACATTTAAGGAGCAATTAATTGGCACACGGTGTAATTTTAAAAAGTAGATATTTTATATTTTATAGCAAAATTAAATATTCGATACCTAAATTAAAAAAAAATTAATTATGAATTAACTAATTACAATAGAGGTGGAGCAATTTCGAATTCTGCTGGAGCATTTATGGAGCAATTAATTGGCATACAGTTTAGTTAAAAAAAAGAATGTTCTACGCTATCTTCCATCTGGTTGTTTATACCCATATTTTTTTAAAGTGAGACGTAGGATCAGTTTGATTTCGAAGTCTATAATTAAACTGTATTCATAAGTAGTAAACATAATTTATAATATATATATATATATATATATATATATATATATATATATGTGTGTGTAAATAGAAAATTATTATAGGTACATAGTTTATTTATTATTATTATAATAGTAATCATTATTTTTATAATGATTATTTAAGTTGGCGATTTACCTTCATATACTTAACTAGGCTTAGGACTGACAGGAAAGTTTTAAAACAAATGCACAAAATGCAAACAAATATGTACTACAAATAAATGCACAAACGTAACGTCAAAAATTAATAATTTTACAGATAGTTTCATAGTGAACGGCATATCACCCCACCAATGTCAAGTGCGTAATTGTTACGTTTGAAAAAAAAATCAAATTCTAACTTTCACATAAATAAAAGTTGCCTAAACTAAATATAATGTGATGAAACAAATCTAAGTGTAGTGCCTAATGTCCTGAAGATCATTTAAATCTGACAACTCTCACAGCTACACAAACTTAAAAAATTAGGTAATTTTAACCATTTAAAATTCGACCTTATTGTTATGAATCTTATATTTCACTACGTGCACCGTTTTATGATAACAACCAAAACATCGCAACCAAATCCATATTCGCTTCATCTCTTTCATACGTATTTATGATACTGTCGCTAGAACGAGAAACAACGAATATCAAAGGACATCGGTTAGGTTTCGTTTTGGGCCGTTTTCGGTTATTGGCATATCGTTTTGCGTTTTACGTTTCGTCCATTGGTTAGTTCATTTTGGGTTTTGGTTGGATATGTGATAACGGTTATGTTCTTAGGTTTATCGATATGATATGATATTTGATAACATAACGTTATTAGTTACGTTTTGATATATCGGTCTCATGCCTAATGGAATGTTATGCCTGCGCTAGCACTTCTTACTAGTTTGTGGTTATGCCACTGGTGTTCTGTGTTCTTCCCGCTTAAGGGTATTAGTCATAGAGTGTTTCTATATAGTTTGTGGTCATAGATAAAACACTATATACCAGGGTATTAGTGTTCTGTTATTGTGGTCCTGAAATAGAAAATAGAAGAGAGAAGACAATAATTATACTTAAAAATCTTAAAATATTTGGCCTGGTGCTCCAATTTTTAGGTACAAAATGTTTTTTCCTAACTTTTACTATGCCGTTAGTTTAAGGTATTTGTTTTTTTTTCGTATAAAACAATAGAGTTCTTTCAATTACAGATATTTCCTCAGACAAAATAAAAAGTCAAGACAGAGCCCGGCCGAACAACGCACTGAGGCCGGTAAGCCGGTAAAACTACGCCTCGCCTTATACATACACAGTTACACGCACACACGGATAACGAAACTACGCCTTACCTTGTCAGTCGAGCTATTATCACTGTTGCCGTTTTAGTGCTTTTCGCACTAAATCTAGCGCATTTTTTAGCTCTTCAGCGCTTTTTTTTTTCAAAAAAAGACGCGCTAAACATAATTTAGCGGAATCTGGTGGAAAATTGAAAAAGATATTGTCAACCTCAAACTATACCCAAAAGTCAGAGTCCAGAACCAAAAACGTAGAAAAAAATAATATGAGTTCATTCTGGTCGGGTATTCCCCAACCACAATGTTTGATTTAGTCTGTTTTGTCTCTTTTTACATTAAAGGATTTTACTATGGCTGTCTCGCTCGTGTTACTAACAGAGAAAAACCGGTTTATTTATCTTATTGCGGCAGGATTTAATGCTTTCCAGGATTTAGTGGACCTGGCTATCACTGCTTTGCCTATTATACTTATTATACTCTTTGCGAGCTATTCCAGCGCGCGGAGTGTCACGCTCTAATAATTCGCAATTTTTAAAGAAAAAATGCCGAATTGTGTAGTGAAAGGGTGTAAAAACCAATCTTTGAAAAATAAAAACCAGGATGGAATCACATTTCACACGTAAGTAAAAAAAAACCCATATTTTAATAAATCAATATTATTATTTATTATGACAGCTTGGAACATAAAATCTCCACAAGTGTTGCTACTAGTAAGCATCACAATAGTCCCCGTTAATGAGTAAGTTGTTAATGTGACGCGAAACGTAATGTTCTTTCATTTCATTTACACATGTACATTTAATTATTTCCATTAATTAATTTAATTTAATGAAATGAAATTAATTAATAGAAAGAATAATAATTAGTTATATTTTTTGTTTTTCCATGTTTTATCATCACTTAAAAAACCTATATTTTTAAGGTTCCCCATCCGAAATAAAGACATTAGAGAAAAATGGATAGAAGTGATTCGAGTTAGCCGGAATGAGCCATCGTGGAATCCAACGGTGCGCAGCGTAGTTTGTTCAACACGTTTTGAAGATGACGATTTTTATAACACAAATAAAGGACTTCGCCGCGTGGTACGAAACGAATATCCAAAGGTTATTTCCAATGTTTCTATAATATTATATTTAGTAATAAATTTAAAAATATCGTTTATTATCGATATTTTTCCATGTAGCACTGACAAGTAATGACATTATTTTACAAAATGGTGAAATAAACAGGTTATCATAAGAATATCAACCATATTCATCATATCTCGTAAATATAAAACGAACCTCCTAACGTCATAAGTTTTTGCATAATTTACAAATTATTCATTATAGATTATTTATTTCATGTTTAGAATCTACCTGCTGCACCAAATCAATCAGCGAATATAGATCTGAGTGTACCTACTAGTGTATATGCTGTAAGTATTTTTACTCATTTCTTCTTTCTGCACCTTCACAAGCTGTAAATGAAAATAAAAGTTAATAGTTAAATAACGTTCTTATATGTTTATGTAGTTACTTACCCGTTTCTTCTTTCAGCAGGTTCCAGCTACATCCACCGAATCAATTGATGTGGATCTGATACAGCCCTGTTCTTCACGAGCTGTAAGTGAAAATTAAAGTTAAATATTCAATGTTCTTATATGTTTATGTAGTTACTTACCCTTTCCTTTTTTTAGCACGTCTCAGCAACACCAGTCTTATCGTCGACGCCTATACCAAATATAGAAAAAGAAAGCGAATCAATTTTCGACACACCCAGGAAACACAAATTGAGACAGCGGATTATTCGCCTAGAAAATAAACAGGAACAAACTAGAAAAAAAATTAAAAACTTAAATCAAAAAGTGAGGCGACTAATAGAAAGAAATAAGTCGTTAAAGGAAATATTAAAAAAAATAAAAAACCAAAACTATATAGACACTGACTTATACAACTCACTTAATGGAAATATTGCTGCTGTTGATATATTTAATGCCTTAAACAGGAAAAAGTTAAAAAAAAAACCATTAAATATACGCCTGCAATGAAAAAGTTTTGTTTAACTTTGAACTATTACTCACCAAAAGCATATCAGTACGTTAGATGCACATTTAATACTTGTCTTCCACACCCAAAAACCCTAGCCAAATGGTACGGACATATAAAAGGTGAACCGGGATTCACGGAGGAAGCTTTTCAAGCACTGAAAGCAAAGTCACAAGTAAGTGAACACCAACCAATTTGTAGTCTGGTGTTTGATGAAGTGTCCATTCGATCCCAAAAAATCTGGGATGGCAAAAAATACGTTGGATTTGTTGATATAGGAACTGGCATAGAGGAGACGGCGCCTCTGGCCTCTCAAGCTTTAGTATTTTTGGTAGCAGGAATTAATCACAGATTCAAAATTCCATTAGGATATTTTTTGTTAAATAGAATCTCAGGAGAGCAAAAAGCAAATCTGTTAAAGATATGTCTAATAAAATGTTTTGAGGCTAACATAGATGTCGCATCACTAACCTTTGATAGTCATTCAACGAATTTTAATGCAATCGAAGTACTTGGTTGCCAAATCAAGAATCCACCGGAAATAAAAACTATTATACCCCATCCGCATCCTGAAGCTAAATATGAAATAGCGTGTTTTGTGGATCCTAGCCACGTAATTCAACTAATTAGAAACCAGTTTGAAGCAAAAAAGGTATTTGTGGACCTAAATAACAAAAAAGTTGAATGGAAATTTATTGTACAGTTAAACGAGTTACAAAATTAAGAAGGTATACACTTGGCTAATAAACTATCCAAAAGGCATGTAATTTTCAAAAATCAAATTATGAAGGTAAAGCTAGCCACACAGTTGTTGAGTACAAGTGTTACCACGGCTTTAAAAATATGCAGAAGTGAATTAAATCTACCGTTTTTTCAAGAAACAGAAGGTACAGAACTCTTCATTCAAAAATTTAACGATATGTTTGACGTGTACAATTCTAGGACAATGCGGCAATTTGATTACAAAAAACCTCTTTCTGTATCAAATAAAAACTTTATATTTACTTTCTTGGATAAGTTAAAAGAATACGTCACGAATCTAAAAGTAAAAATAATGACCAAAAAGAAAATGACTCAAAATGGCCGTCCTTTTTATGTCATTACACAATTCTACAAACCAGTTATAGAAACTAAATGCAAAGCAGGGTTCTTAGGTGTATTAATTAATATTGAGAGTCTGAAAGCTATTTATAATAAATGGATTGAGACTGAACAACGATTAGTCTACCTACCAACGTACAAGTTGAGCCAGGATTACTTGGAAATATTATTTTCATCTATTAGGATGCAAGGAGAATTCAATGATAATCCTTATGTTAGACAATTCAAAGGCAGTTACCGAAAATTACTGACATATCTTGAACTGAAATGTCTGACGAAAGGAAATTGTGTTCCTCTAGAGAACATAGCCATATTGAATTGTACTTCAGCAACGCAAATAATTAATACAACGATAACTTCGTACCGACACGAGGAAGAAGATTGCGTTAAAGGTTCTTCGTTACAAATCCTGAGTGAAATCAGAAACGATTGTGCTGATTTAGCCAGTCGTTTAAATATTTGCGAATTTGATGACTATAAAAAATATATTATCGGATATAGATCAGGAAGTACAGCGCATTACTTGTCAAGAGTCATAAAGTGTCAAACGTGTCTAGCTCGCTTACAGTCGGATGAGATATTTGACTTCCATAAACTTATTTCCTTAAAAGATAAAGGTAGCTTAATCTTTCCGTCGAAAGACCTTTTTGAAATTTGCGTAATTTGTGAAGCTGTTGTGCGTAAATTGTGTAATGAAAGGATAGTGATAGTTACTGAAAACCAACACAAATCATTTGTTATTAATATTTTAAAACGATTTATTGGTACTGACAACGTTTTCTCTAACTTGGAGACTGAGCACAATTATGCTGGCTGGCATAAAATAAGTTTAATAAGATGTATAATTGAAAAATATTTATCTATTCGTTTCCACCATATTTCTAAATTGGAAACAATTTCTATAACAGTCGACAGTAAACGGCAATACTTCAAAAAATTGACGCAACAAAAAGGCTATTAAAATAAAAACAATGTTTCATATTACTATTGTTTTATTTTTCCCCTATCTAGTCGGAATAAATATACTACCTCTTAAAAGTCAGACATGCAATAAAAAAAAAATGCCGACTTATCTATTTACTTATCCATTCATCCTGCTAGTACGTAGACAATAACATATTAGGGTAATAAGTTTTACTGCACGGCAACACTCGCTAAGTGCATACATGTTTACGTGGGGAGTTTTGGCGGGAAATTGACCGGCGGCGGTTTGCTGCTCCTGTATTATTGTTTAAATAATGGTTTGAAGTGGACTTTGATATGTAAAAGTGTTGCGATTTTGTGTATTAAGTGTCTACGCATGTGAACTATTAGTGGAAACAGTGAAACAAGTGCTCTGATGGTGATGGATTCTCAAGATAAGCTGTTTGTTTGCATAGGCACCTTTAGATACCATCGCCAACTATCAGCTGTCTGCTGGATCAAGTTGCCGCCAAAATCTCCCAAGAACTGCACAATGTGACGCATCAACATATTGTGAAGCAGTATACTATGAAGGAGTGGGAAAATTACAATAAACCGAATAAAAATACTTAAGACTTGGCCTAAAGGTCTAGATACCAGGCCATAAACTCCAAAAAAAAATACATGTTTACGTGGGCGGGAACTTCAAACGAGGCGGTCGATTTAATTTTTATATTTATCGTTAAAATATCCTGTTCGGTGTAAATAATTGTACATTTTGTTAATTGTTAAAATGAATGAACCGGAGGATCCAGGTGGAACCCCGAAACGATCCAAAATTGTTCGTAAAAGAGGTACGAAGGAAAGTGGACCTGAAGTAGGCGGCGGTGAGGATGACTTTATTCCGTTTTTTAAGCCAGGTTATCTGAGACTTTATCCTGAACATTGTACAAATACGGACTTCAAAGTTTTTGTTGAAAGCCAGGACAAACAGGTTAAACTTGGAAATAAAAGCCCAGTTTACTTAAATCATATTTTTACTTCGGAGGTGAAAGGTGTGATAGCTTTACATAGAGTCAATGCCAACAAAATTGCGGTTGTTTTTAAACAATACAACACTGCAAATAATTTCATCACAAATACAGACTTTTTAACAAAGCACAACTTGAAGGCGCATATTCCTGCAGCGCAGATAGAAAAAACTGGAATCATCCGATATGTGCCTACCAACATTTCGAACAAGGAATTATATACGAAACTGTCTTCGATTTATGAAATTATTTCAGTGAGAAGATTCACGAAAAAAGTCGGTCAAAGTACTGTAGGTCTCGAGACGGTCAGTATAACTTTCCTATCAAATGTTCTGCCCGACAACATCCAATATGACCTATTTTCGTTCAGGGTGTTTGAATATGTCCCACCGTTACAACAATGCTTCCGGTGCTTCAAGTTCAACCACCCTGCGAAAATTTGTAATGGTAAACAACGTTGCTCGATATGTGCTGGGGAACATAATTTCAGAGACTGTGATAAAAAAGAAAACCTGTGTTGTGTCAATTGCAGTGGTCCCCACCTGGCCATTTCCAAATCTTGCCCAATAAAAATGAAAAAAATACTTGAAATAAAGGGTAAAATTACTTATGCCTCTGTAGCTAATACAATTAAGTCATCTGATTTTCCGTCTTTACCTGCACAGTCGAGCAGCATTGTTAAGACCCTACCATCAATAAACCAAAATGTACATAAATTAAATAAAAATGTAAAAATTGTAAATAATGTAAATAAAACAGTGCCTGAACCCAACTTGAACCAAACTCAACTTAAGGCTCAAATTGCAAACAATAAGAATATTTTGATGGCAATGGTCCAAACTTTAGTCGAATTAGGTAATAAAACAGATAATGAACCTGTGACTACACTGTTCATTAAAGACTTACTTTTAAAAAATCTGTCACTGTAATGGACAGTACAGTACAGAACATACAGCAGTTATGTATAGCTCAGTACAATATTCAAAGTATACATAGGAAAAAATCCTTATTGTCTAAATTTTTAGATGAGCAAAATGTTGAAATCTGTCTACTCACTGAAACTTGGCTGAAAGATACTCAGCATTTTAACATTTCGGGATATAATTTCCACTATCATAATGCCCAAAATGAGCATGGTGGAGTAGCAATTTTGATCAAACCGTATTTTAAATATAATATTATTCAAACCAGATTTTACCAAGACATTCAGACTGTGGCATTATTGTTATATGTAAGTGGTAAACAATTAACGATTTTATGTGTATACTGCCCTCCATCGAATGGTAACTTCAGAATAAGTAAACTGCGTGATATAATTAGAGATTTGCCTAAGCCAATATATGTGGCTGGAGATTTCAACGCTCACCATGTGGCATTTGGGTGTATGACCACGAAAAGTCGGGGTCATCAGTTATACGATTTAATTGATGAATTTGATCTATGTGTCCTCAACAATGGTAGCTTCACTACTATTAATTATCCTAACCGAAATCCATCGGCTATTGATGTCAGCTTTTGTAGTGCTTCAATCACTCCACTATGCGAATGGTGGGTGCATGATGATTGTATGGGGAGCTAACATTTTCCTACGCTTACTCGTGTTTTATTGTCAGTTGATAGATACCAAATTAATCCTCCCATTGAAAAATTCTTATACAACAAGACAGACTGGACAAAATACAATGAGCTGTCTATAACTGCTTTTTCTAATTTTGAAGTTAATAATGAGAATCCATTACAGTCATATGATGAATTTATTGAAAGGCTTGATACACTTAGGAGAGATACTGTGCCAAAGTTTGTCAAAGCAAACAACTATCGTTGCAAGCCTCCAGCACCTTGGTGGAGTGACACATGTGAACAGAGTGTTATTAAAACTTATGAAGCTTTAAAACTGTACAGAAGAGATCCAACCATTGATAATTACATTAATTACAAAAGACTTAATGCTGTTAAGAAAAAGACTATTTCAGAACATAAACGCAATGGTTGGGCTAACATCTGTAATACTTTTAACAGAACTACACCTGTTAGTATTATTTGGAAATACATCAAGTTATTTAAACGAATAAAATGCAATAATAGAACATATAAAGACGAATTTGTAGTCCCTCTTTTAGACAAATTATCTCGAAATGGATGTAGGGTTATTGATAATCTAGAAAGTTATTTTCAAATTAATAATAGTCTTCAGAAGTCCAGTTTCCTCATAGAACCCTTTACTTGGAGTGAGTTTTGTACAAGTTTACAATCCAGACGAAACACAACCCCTGGTTTAGATAATTGTCCATACATTTTGATCAAAAACCTAAATCAGTCCGTACAAAAGAAACTATTAGCTAATCTTAATGCTCTTTGGCACTTAAAAAAAATTCCTGAATCTTGGAAAACACAGTGTGTAATCCCTCTACTTAAGCTTGACAAGCCACCTGAAGATCCTAATTCATATCGTCCTATATCTTTGTCATCTTGTGTTGGAATGCTTAATGAAAACATGATAAAGATGCGTCTTGAGTGTTATGTAGAGGCGAACAACATCATTCCACATGTTCAATATTGCTTCCGGAGAGGCAGAAGTTGTGCTGACAGCTTCATCTCTCTCTTGTCAGATCTGAAATATGCCAATAATAATAATAAGTCCAGTGTTTGTGTTTTTCTGGATATTGAAGGTGCGTTTGATAATGTACATCCTGGCATTTTGGTTCAAGTTCTTTCTGACATTGGTATACCAGGCATACTTTGCCATTGGTTATTTAATTTTTTAATAGATAGAACTTTGTATATAAGGCATAATAATATTCTCCATGGTCCCAGAAGGGTCTCCAAAGGTACAATGCAGGGGGCTACATTATCTCCATTGTTGTACAACATATACACTAGTCAAATTCTTAATTTTGTAAATATAGAAGGTGTAAATATTTTACAATTTGCGGATGATCTTGTAATATATTGTACAGACCATAATGTAGATAGAGCTGTAAATAGTATAAATAATGCTTTAGAGCAATTGTACATATATTATAATGACAAGTTGGCTCTACAGATTAACCCTAACAAAAGCAAGGCCATGATTTTTAGTAAAGATTTTCCCTCTAATGGCATACTCTACAATAATCATCCAATTTCAGTTGTATCTAACCATAAATTCCTGGGTGTTGTCATTGATAACAAACTTTGTTTTAATTTACACATCAATCACATTATAACTAACTCTCTTAAGGGCTTAAATATTATAAGATGTTTAGCTGGTGTGACTTGGGGTGCAGACCCCAAAGTTTTAAGTATGCTATATAAATCTATAGTCAGAAGCCATTTCGACTACAGTTGTTTAGCCTACTCAAATAGTAGTTGTGTAAAAAAACTAGACATAATTCAAAACAAAGCTCTGCGAATTATTTCTGGGGCTATGTGTTCAACTCCCATACGAGCTATGGAAGTTGAAACCAAAATAATGCCACTGTGTCTTAGAAGACTTCTGCTAATAGAGAGATATTTACTAAAGCTGGTATCTGGTAATGATAATGTTCTCAAAAAAAATAGTACCTTTTCCTTTACAATGCTCGGTCCAGCAGACTTCGGGAGGTGAGCTTTTACAAGGTTATTTTCCAGTTTTGCCTCTCACTGTACAGCAAATGAATGAAGATTTTAAAAATGTAATTAAACAATCAAAGTGGACATGCTACACATACCCATATTCCTGTATTATATTTGAGACCAATATTGTTACCAAAATTTTTTTTAATAATTGTGAATTATTAAGTTTTATTTCCGACAATAACTACTATACTTTGTATACAGATGGTAGCAAAAGTGAGCTCTTTGTGCGCAGTGCCGTTTATGATCCACAATGCAAGTTTGGTCAAAGTTTTCTTCTGGACCCTAAATGCAGTGTTTTCACTGCAGAGGTATATGCGGCCCTCGAGGCCCTGAAGAGGATTGCACATATAAATAGTTTTAATAATTTTTTAATTTTAACAGACAGTTTAAGTATGGTCCAAAGTTTAACTAATCTCAGATTTGACTTTAAAAAAAAACTATATTTTGTATAATATTAAAAAATTGTTATTTAGTTATGCAAAAAAGGGTATACAGGTCTCTTTCATGTGGATTCCATCACATAGGGGCATAACAGGAAATGAGATAGTAGATAAAATTGCACGTGATGGATGTTGGATGTTAGCTCCATAGTAAAAGTACCTTTGACCGACTGTTATCAATCTATTGACAACCAGGTCAATAGCTTATGGGTCGAATTTTGGAAACAAGATCAAGAACAGAAGGGTAAATGGTATGGGACTGTTCAAGAAAAACTACCTGTAGCACCATGGTATAACAAACTGAAAATGTCCAGTCGGGACTTTGTTACCACTATAAATAGACTGCGCTTTGGTCACTCCACCGTCCCGGCCCACCTGGCTCGATTGGGCATAGTGGAGAGCAGTTACTGCACCTTCTGCAATAATTCTGTTGGTGATATCGAACATTTCATATTTACATGTGAGTGCTTTTCATTTGACAGATTGATTCTTGTCAGTGAAATTAGTGACATAGTGCAAAATCAAGTGACAGTGCAAGATCCCTCCCGTCGCCTGAGTGATATGTTAAAAAATAGATCCTGTTACGTGCCTCTATATAAATTCATCAAAAATACAGTGGGGAAATTGTAATAAACCGAATAAAAATACTCAAGACTTGGCCTAAAGGTCTAGATGCCAGGCCATAAACTCCAAAAAACAAAAAAAAAAAAAAAAAAAAAATACATGTTTCCGTTGGCCTAAAGGTCTAGATGCCAGGCCATAATCTCCAAAAAAAAATACATGTTTACGAAACCGACCTCATTTCATTTCATTGTTGACCATACATAAATATATATGTAGCAAGCTATTTTTTTTTGTTGACAGCGCTCTGTCTTGACTTATCTATGGTCTTGACTTTTATTTTGTCTGAGGATATTTCATCGAAAATATAAACCGCCGTTTAAAATGGAAGGAGATGGAGGTGATACTTTAAAGACCTTTTCAGGGATTCCGGAAGCTGTTTTTGTTGTAAGTCGGTATTTCATTCATTTGTTAATTGTGACTAACCTTTATACTACATTTTAATGTGTCACCGAGGTTATATTACTTGACGCATCTGGTGCATTTAAGACCCTTTTTAATTTAATTTAAGAAAGAGGTTCAACTGTGCAAAACTTACAATCGATTTGTAGGTTCGAACTTTCATGAGGAATAAATATTTATTAGTTAGCTCATAAAATTTTATATTGAGGAAACGCGTTTATTTCGAAATGTTGACACTCTTACCAAAAAAAATTTATAAAAAAAAATTATAATGTAAATCAAAAAAGTCCAATGTTTATAAGTTTACATCATCTATAATTTTTTAAGTAATTGTTACATTATTTCTGCTTATAATATTTAATTCACCAGGTATTAGTCTTTTCTGCTAACAAATGTGTTATCAAAACAAAACAGAAATGATGCGAGTGCGACCACAAAGTACTTTTCAAAACTGCAAGCATTGAATATGTACTTAAGTACTAGAATAGCTATTTGAAACAAAAAATGTGTGCTACTCATGTCTTTGCACATGCGCATGGAAGAGTAGTGTGGTGCATGTGCGGTTGGTTTTTATCATAGATTGTATTGTTAATTATGTAAATTATATTGAGTACAATTTTTAAAATTTGTCATTTATGTTGCACATAATATGTGCTAATTTAACACATAATATTATATCAGATTTAAAAACTTATTGATATAACATTTAATTTAAAAATATATTTATTTAGATTAGAATAAGAGTTGTTCATATATTATGCTGGGCACGCAAGACTTAAAAATGGATGAATTTATTCCACTTTTCCCAGCTTGGACTTGGAAACCTAAAAATAAAATAAAAGAATAATCAGCAAATTTAAATATCTGAAATTTAGCCTGATTATGAATACCTATATTTGTTTCTACAACAGAAATTGTGCATGTTATATTATGCACAATTCTTCCCACACTTAAGTATCTACAGAAAAGTTGCATCTGAACAAATAAATTTCATAATCTATACTGCATGATCAGAGATGGCGTCTTAGGAATAATTTGCTTGATTATTAATCTATAATGCTTTTTTTTATTAATTATCTTACTCACCAATGAAAAGTTATTTCTTGGTATTTGCTAACATTTTTTGAATAATTTGTGCAATATCTAAAAACACACCATGGCAAAATTTATCAAGATTTTTTTTATAAAATCAGCAGTACGTGCCAACTCACTAGCGCCTAGCGAACGACTGAGTAAAGTGCAGCAATATCACCACAGTTAAATTGGAGAGTCTAACTAAATGCTGTGTCGCCTCTAGTACATAGTACATAGTAGCTCAATGCAATGTAAGATGCATCTGAATTTTGTGTCATTGATGCATTATAATATGCTTAATAGTGATTATATTTCATATGTACAATGTATAAATCAATTTAAAAATCAAACAAAAATGTTGAAATTAAGATCCTTAGGATCCACATAATGAAATAAACTACTGCTTTGGACATTAACCGTACAGTAACTTATACATTTTATAAAAGCTTCGGCAAGTACATTTTTCTTGAGTCGATTCCTATTTAGAAAAAAGTAAGAATGATGGATTGCAATAAAGAATAATACTACTGCTCGTTCATTTTTAACTGACCATAATTACAATTCCATATAAGTGGTAGAGCCATGCTGCAGTTATATTATAGTTGTAGCACAAATGGGTCAGCTCGATCGGGGAAGGACTCTCTCTCTCTCTCACAAAATAGCAGCTTCATGATTAGTGTACAGAACCAGTGACCCATTTTACTGGAAATGAGGCATTCCATCTTAGTCCTCAAGAATGACAGAGCATCTGCATTTTGATTCTTGATTATGATCACAGCATCCCATTCATATAAAACACTAGCGTTTGCCACTGGCTTTCAATTAAAATATAGCTATTTAAATAAAACTAGTTTTTACGGATTTTATAGTACATATTAACTTATTTTATATTCTCATCATTTCAAGCTCTTTACATCACCCATGGTCATGGGGGGGACAGGTGTTGAGATTAAAATTATTAAGTTTTGGTCTGATCTATGCAGAATGAATTTTAATTATCTTGAAGTCTTCCAGTTGTATGCTTGAGTTGGGTTTTAATTTTATTAATTATAGGATTCCAAGCAGACTGTAGCACTTCTTTTTTATTGAAAGTAGGATGTTTCTTGATTTCAATAGCTGCGTGAATCATTCTTAGAAGGAAGCTCCTTCATGGAGCTCCAGTTGCTTCAGATGACCCGAGAGTCTGACTGTGATTAGCTAGTTTGCAGAGATGACTACGTAATAACTTCGACGGGCAGACAATCCCACATGTTCGCAAGAATAGTCTTGTCTATGATGATGGCCCCGTCGGATTCCAGCAAGTAGTCCGTATTTTAGGGCGAGCTCCTGATGTACGATCCTGGCTATTAGGTTGTGTCTGTGCGAGTCTAGGAGTTAGAAAGCTTGACAGATGTGGACGGCTACATCCTAATGGTCCCTTAGGATGTTGCCTGTCGACTTATTATTATATTAATTATGAATCATCAGCATTAACACAGTGCATGCCAAAATTAATTAAATTTATTTGGAAATTTTATTTTTATATTATTTTAATCCAATCGAACCTTAAATACCGATAATTTTATACCCTTATTTTGATAATAATTCGTACTACTGATTTGGTAACATTATTAAGGCTTGCCTTTTGGCATTTTCTCCTCAAGAACAAGTAATTTTTCATCATTTTGTTGTTGTCTTACTTTGATATTACTGCATATTCACTATTAATTATTCTATGTTTAAAATTATAAAAAAATGTATTTATAGTTTTGTATACACATCCACTATGTGTATCTAAAAGGACATTATCAGCTATATCATTAAGAGAATCCTATGTTTTGTTCAGTATCAATTTTTATTTTAAAATATTAGATAACTAAGAGATAGAACTCCTTTTTGACTTAGGAATCCGTCTTAGTAGGTACAACTCTCTTATATCACATATACCTAACATCAATAATCAACACCAACATCAATTAATAAACAATAATATATTATAATAATAATACTTTGTTTTCTCATATTTTTTAGGATAATGTTGATGAGTTTATGAATTTGCCTGAAAACTCTGGAGGTGTTGAAAAAGTATTAAGGAAACTTGATGAACAACATTCAAAATATAAATTTATGGAATATACCTTAGCTTCTAAAAGAAGACGTTTAAGGCAGCAAATACCAGATCTAGCTAGATCATTGGAAATGATAGAAAAGTTGAAAACTCAAAAGGAAGAAATGGGAACTCAGTTTCTTTTAAGTGACCAAGTTTTTGTAAAGGTAAAGATAATTTATCCTTAAATTATGTATAGTATGTCGTTGTTAAAGTAATATATAGTAATATGTATACTTTTATTGCTTGAAAATTCTCGAGACACATGTTAATTGCTCATGTGTATTTGGTTGGTTACTGACTCCCCTGTGTAGTTAAATTCATATTATTCTCCCCGCTTTGATGATATGTTGTACAATCCCTCTACTCTTCATTACCTTAATGATTGTTTTTGAATATGTTCTCAACTGCTTTTTTAGAGAATTTTAATGTTACTGTCACTTGTGAAACTCCTTATCTCTTCATGTTTTGGTGTAGAAAGTTTTTAACTTTATGTAACGATTAACTGAAATCACACTATAATTAAAAAAAAAATTGTGCAAATATTATTGTATTTTTTAATTATATTTTAAACTTCTATTTCATTGTATAATGAAATATATTTATTATATTCTCATTTACCACTTTTCCTTAAAATAGAAGGCTATTCCTATTCGTATATTAACACTTTCACTGTCCGGTTTTCAGACACAATAGTAAGACAATAGCAATGACATATGTAGTGCACGGGACAGCGAAAGGGTTAAGATATATTCTCCATAATCCTCAATTGTGACAGGCGGAGTTATAATCACTGTTACGGCCCACAGCTGCCCCTGCAAAGTGGAAAAATGTCCTATTATACTACACTATAGGGAGAAGGCTAGGAAAATAAATAGTACGTACCTGGATCCGAATCTAAGACCGCCCCAAGGCTCGGTCAGGCCGTAGGTAGAGTAGATGCATGTAAAGTAATGTTTAGTGGTGTGTATGTGTGGGTGACCTGGCCCAGCTGAGGTGACCTGGCAGCGGCCGGTTTCCATGCTGCCCCACAATGCTGCATCACTCCAGCAGGTGTCCACAATGGACCATTTCTTTCTTCATTTCACTATTTCAGTCTATCCACTTTACTATACCACATTTAACTAACTTCAACTCAACTAATTCAACGTTCATCATAGAATGGAACACGTGATACCCGACATAAGTAACGAACAGTAGTTCAAAGTTCCACATTCAATGTCCCGGATTCATTTATCACCAAATTACAAATGAACTAACTCGATCTCTTCATGAGTCACACGGTTCAGCGTTACAAACACAACTAGTTCCTTCGTTCGATATTAAATAATACGCCGCAGCTACAGAGTCAACACACAAAATGCTCTTAACGCGACGATATAATTAAACAATGATTTCCAAAACAATCAACCGCAAAAGCGCAATTCCAACGCGGGATGTCCTCAACTGGGAAACTTCTGTTTCCCTTTATCGCCAAGAATGTGGTAAATTGACATTCCAAATTGCAATTCAAATATATGCTAAAATATATAATAATGCTTACGTACCATGAAATTTAAGTTTTAATCAGTTTGATTACCGCCATTGACAAGTAAAATAAAATGAACCTTTGTTTAAGTAAAACCGGCTTTCTTTAATTAGTAAGTATTTTTCCGCAATAGCCTGTTCATTTACATATACCTAGTCAGGTCATAAATTCTGTCACATGTTTAATATAAAATAATTGAAACAAGTTTGTTCATAATGTAACTGTTTAAATACCAAAATGAACTTAAAAAAACATAGATTCTTATGACACTAAAGTTTATACAAAATGACCTCCGTGATTTTGAATACAGGCCTTCAATCTGCGCGGCCAGTCGTCTATCGCAGCACGAACGAGGTCCATGTCAATATCGGCGGCTGCCTTAATCGAGGATGTCTTGAGTGACTCCAAATTGGGATGAGGCTTTGAGCACGCCTTTTCCTCCAAGTGTTGCCATATCTTGTAATCTAACGGATTTAAATCTGGACTGGAGGAGGGCCAGTCTTCGTGCCGGATGAAGTCGATTTCACGCGCCGCCAGCCAGTCTTGTGTGCTCTTCGCTCTTCAGCTGGCGCTGAATCTTGTTGGAATACCCAGTGCCTGTTATTGAACATGGTATGAGAAACAGGTTCCACAAGGTTTGTCAGGACTGTATTTTGATACACAACTGCATTCGTTTTTACAACTTTCTCACAAAAATGTACCTCTGTTAAGCCCCAATAAGAAACTCCCAACCATACCATGAGCGAGGATGGAAAATGACCTCGTTGGACACGCGGAATACGGTTGCTCGCTTCTTCACTACTGTGTGCGTACACCTTATCATTTTGTTTGTTGTAGCTCTCTTCTACGGTAAAAATTTTTTCATCCGAAAAAAGAATTTCCCGATATTTTTTTCCCGCGTACCGCTTCAACAAAGCGCGGCATCTCTTCAGTCTCAGGTCCATTAGACGAGCATTCAAACGATGTCCTGTTTTTCTTCGATATGTCCGAAGCCCTAAGTCGTCATTTAACACCCTTTTCACCGTGGTTCTGCTTAACCCCATCTGAAGGGCCAACAGTTTCTGCTTACGTTTGGGATTTCTTTGAATTCGCGCTTTCACAGCTTTTATCACTGCTGGAGTCCTAACAAACCGAGGGCGACCACTTCTTGGCCTTGTCATCTACACTAGAGTGTTCATTGTATCGTTTGATGGTACGATAAACGAATCTTTTGGTTATATTAAAATTTTTCAATATGTCAAAAATTTGAATTGGCGCGTAACCGCAACGATGCAACGCAATAACTGCAACACGGTCTTCTTTAAGCGTCCACTCCATATTTAAAAATGAGTAAAATTCTAAAAAGTATACAGTTTTATTTTCATGAACAATTCGAAATTCGAATTCAATAAACTTTTTTGTGGCCAGCATTCTAAAAGAAAAGTTTTTACTGTGTGACAATACTTATGACCGGACTAGGTATTATGTGCGCCGTGAGACATAGGAAAATGTTTCATCTGGAGTATTGCGTGACGAAATTTCATATCGTTATTCAACCAGTGTGCTGTAAAGCTTAAAAAACTTTCCTTATTGTTTGTCCTCAAATTTGTAGTTACGGATAGCGCAGCAGCGCTGAGCAGTCCGTATCGTATTTCAGTTTTAGTTTTCTCATAAATGTTGGGAATGATATTTTCTGACAAATACTTTCTACTAGGTAATACATATTTTGGTTAGTAATCAAAGTATACGTCATACTTGTCGTATTCGCTTTTCTACCTTGACCACCGCGTGAAATGATTCCCTGGCACTGGTTACATTTCACTTTTGTCGGTTCCCTTTCAACATCATCGAAGAATGTCCACACTCGCGATTTTTTTTTTCGACATTTTACGACCTCACACACAGTTATGTAGCAGAGACTACAGATAACTTGGGAATGGAATTATGTTGAGGAATCGAAAGATTTGGTTTAAATAGTGTAGGAAGCTAGGAGGTGGGGGTAAAGATAAGGGAACAACATTGTTCTTGGTGTTATCGTTAACTTATTCTAAGATACAATTAAGAATGGTAACATTAGCATATTATATTAGTTTGGCTTCGAAGAAAGTAAACAATATGATTTCGATTTTAAGTAATTAAACGATATAAATTATACAGGTCTTATAACATAAAGTAAATAGTATCTTATGATATAATATTAGTTTGGCTTCTAGGAAAGTAATTTACCTTTAAAATAAATAGCAACACGCTCAGCGTGGCCGCACGATGGCTCGTATGCACTATGCATTCGCGAGGGTGCCGAGTGATGACGACATAGCCCGAATACGAGGGTGGATTGAAAAGTACTCGGCCTAACACAGATCCATTCAATTCTAAAAATCAAATCTACCCACATTATTTAGTTCAGTTCAGACTAGTTCATTGTGTGAAGTTCGAAACGTGTGCGATAATTAGTTGTGATTTTATAAATTTATTAACAAAGTAATCGGACATAATTTCCGCGAATGGAGCAAATCGAGCAGCGTGCCGTCATTAAGTACCTCCATAAGAAGGGGCTATCATCAAAAGCCATCCATGATGACATGGTTAGTACATTAGGCGATTGTGCTCTGTCATATTCATCCGTAAAAAAAATGGATAGCAGAATTTAAGCGTGGTAGAGAGAGTGTGAAAGATGAACCCCGCTCTGGAAGGCCTTCGACGTCAACTACTGACGAAAATATTAAAAAAGTACTTGATTTAATAATGGGAGACCGCAGATTAAAAATTAGAGAGATAGCCGAGATTATAGGCATCTCTTATGAACGAACTCAAAACATCATTGTCAACGAGTTGGGTTTCCACAAGGTGTCTGCGAGGTGGGTTCCGCGACTGCTTTCAGTTGAACAAAAAAGGACGCGATTGACTATTTCACGCGACTGTTTGGAGTTATTTGAAGCCGATGCAGATGATTTTTTGAATCGTTTTGTTACTATGGACGAAACATGGGTTCATTACTGTACACCGGAAACAAAACAACAATCAAAACAGTGGAGAAGACCTGGTTCACCACCCCCTAAAAAGGCTAAGTCGATTTTGTCGGCAAATAAGGTGATGGCTTCAGTATTCTGGGACTCGAAAGGTGTGATTATGATTGATTATCTTGAAAGGGGTCAGAATATAAACTCTGATTACTACTGCACCTTACTACGTCGTTTACGAGAGGAAATAAAAGAAAAACGTCGAGGAATGCTCAGAAGAAAAGTCCTGTTTCATCAAGATAACGCCCGTGTTCACACGTCAGTACAGTCAATGGCTGAAATTCACAACTGTGGCTTTGAACTGTTACCGCATCCGCCGTATTCACCTGATCTGGCACCATCAGACTTCTTTCTGTTCCCTAACCTAAAAAAGCACTTGGGAGGTCAAAGATTTTCGACAAACGACGAGGTCAAAGCAGCTGTAGACGCATATTTTGACTCTAAGGAAGAATCATTTTTTTTCAATGGTCTTAATGCTTGGAAGGGGAGGTGGCAAAAGTGTATTGAACTTGATGGTGATTATGTAGAAAAATAAAAATATAACTGATTTAGTATGTGTTTATTTTCTTGGTTAGGCCGAGTACTTTTCAATTCACCCTCGTACCTCCGATTAAAATGAACGGCATCGACGACTAGTCGGCCGACTGATCGGCAATTTGAAAACCGATTAGTCGGCTAGTCGGCAAATATCATAGTCGGCCCATCTCTAATGAAAACCCATGCGACCACCATACAAGATCAACAGACAAGATTCACAGCAACCATTGTAATATGAGATATGGTAATAGATTTTCTTATGGTTCCTTGAAGCAGTTCATCTGTCCATATTTGCAAGGAGAATATTCTGTTAAGTGGTTAACTGTTAAACTGTTAACAAGCTGATAAAAAAAAGCTAGATAATTTGAATGTATGGCATTCAAGAACAATTCCTCGATTGATGTATCTTATAACAAACACAATTTTTAATTTTAACCTGTACCAGTACACTTATTTTTCTTTTTATTACAGGCTAATATTGCACCAACAAAAACAGTCTGCTTGTGGCTTGGAGCTAATGTTATGCTAGAATATTCCCTTGAAGATGCTGAAAAATTACTTACAACAAATATGGCCACTGCAAAGAAAAACTTGTCTTGTGTGGAACATGATTTAGACTTCTTACGGTATATTGTTTTTTTTTTCTTTTTATTCCTTCTTAATCCACTGCTAGATGCTTATCTAAAAATATATTGGGTTGCATATTGGGTTACATAATGTGTCAGACAATTGTAACAGATACCTTGTGCTCCCTGAAACAAATATACCAAGACACTTTAAGCTCATCCTACATAGATCGGAACAGCAATTAATAATTTAAAGCTGTAGGTTGCCAGAATTGATTATGAAATCTTGACATCTAACAAATTCTATGTTTTATACCATAGAGATATAATATACCACCTTGTAGTGGCAGTGTGCACTACCCCATATCGTTCTGTGGGTGTCATAAGAGGCGACAGAGAGAAACAAACCAGGAAATGGGCAGCAGTGTCTCCCTAATAACAATTAAAACAAAAAATCTTCAGTTGCCAACCCATTTGCTAAGAATGGCAGCTACGATATATATGAGTTAATCCTAGGAGAGATTTATGTCCAGCGGTGGACTTTGATAGACTGTAACGGCAATGGATATATATATATATGTATGAAAAATATCCGATTTAAATTTTTTTTAAAATAAATAAAAAAAAATAAAAAAAAACAGTTTATTAAAGTAACAATACACAATTCTCTATTCTCCGGAAATCATCACTGGTCGCAACTCAAATCAGGGTGTGGTCACTAAACATGCGCGCCTTGCTTAGTTACTTCGAATTATTAAACGTCCTTCTGCTAAGTTACTTCGAATTATTGTATAAATTTGTTGTCCTTAATTGAATTATTACAACGAGTTTCGGGTAATGGCGAACAAATCTGCTTCGTGTGCTTGAACACCTTCACAAAATTCTTCTAGTTTTCTTCTAAGACCTCTTACATTTTGGTAGCAAACTTCGATATATTTATTGGTTCTTTAAATTATTGGCTGGCCTGCAAAACCACACCAGTAATGCACTGACATCATTTTATAGTCCACCTTAAGGTAAGTGGCTACTGCAGCTGCAATGAGTGACCTCTGAAGACTAGGATGGAATGCGTTACAACCTGTAATGATACTGGCCCTCTATATTATTTAAATCGGAACACAGCAATGCACATTATATTTATAGGAAAATATTATTACATATTAAATATTATATACATATTAAATGAGGAGATAACACAAGCTCACTAGAAATCCAAGGCACGGTGCATGTAGAAATGTTAGCATATCTGGAGGTTTAAGAAAGAAACTACCAAAGAATGTGTAGAAACGCATTGTTTGGTTCTTTAAGTGTTGACTTACCACATGCTCGACAGTGAAGAAAATCATTGTGAGGTAAACGGTATATCTGAAAATAAAGAAATATTTCGAGGGCATGTGAAGTACGGGAGCAGCATGGAAAACCTGCTCCGTAACACTCTCGGAAATGAAAGGCTAGTCTTTGTGGCGTAAAATATAGGCCGTAACTTTAACTTTTAACGTTACTATAACAGAATTAAGATGGTAGTTAAAAAGTTTTATTTTTATTTTAGGGATCAGTGGACAACAACTGAAGTAAATATGGCCAGAGTTTACAACTGGGATGTTAAGAGGCGTCAAGCTGCTAAAGCCTCAAGCTAACCCGTGTTAATCAGAAACTCTATTTGGAAGAAGCAAAACAAAACACTAACCTCACTATTTGAAATCTAATATTATAATTTTAATTTTTAAATTATTTCAGTACTAAATAAATGTTTACTTTAACAATATCTACTTACTTTGACTGCCTTGTTGGTCTAGTGGTTGTAGTAGTCCGACTGCTGATCATGAGGCCGGGACCTCATGATCAGCAGTCGCTTGAAAGTGTTTGAATCCCGGGTCGGGTCAAAAAAGTCAGTTATTGAGTTTTTCCATCAAGAAATTCTCAGTAGCTGCCCGGAGTCAGGAATTTGGCGGTGTCTCACTCCCGTGCCTCGGAAAGCACGTAAAGCCGTTGATCCTGCACCTGATCTCTTTCCGGTCGTGTCGGTTTACCGTCCCATCGGACTATGAGAGTGAGGGAATAGAGAGCGCACCTGTGCTTGCGTATACACTTGAGCACTATAATCCTGTCCTGCGCCGATGGCTAGTCTCCGTTGAGGCTAGCAGCTGTGACCGAAATCCGGTCTGGAGGACATTGTCTACTTACTATAATATGTATTTTCACTACACAACAAAAGCAACTTAAAAACAAATTTTCTTTATGACAAAAGCATGTTGCATGCTAGGTATAAATTTAAATTTTGTTAATAATTATAAGCTTTACTCATCATGATGTTTTTCGAGAGTTATTATGATCGTAATTACTGAAAAAAAAATCCAAACGACATACGGATCATATATGAATTATGTTTACAGTTTACACATTTCCATAGAAAAATACCATCAAAAGCCGCAGTCTATATATAACAAGACTAACAAAATTGCAAACAAATCTAAGCATGTTATTATGAATACCAATCCAAAATTCAATGGGAGTCAGCTTTTTTTGACTTTGATCTTTTTTGCGTAACTACGATTTGTCTCTTTAGATAAAAATGTATGTTATTAACACATAATGATATCCTCAATTAAAAATATCATATTCCAAGGTTATTATGATTTAATTACACATAATATATTAATTATAAGAGGGCCTGATAGTAATGATTTCCCGGCGTTCAATTCATCACTTGTCCAGTTGTGTATCGCTAGAAACGCAAAGTCGGGAATTTGCATTTGGAAAAATCCAAAATTAGGGGCTTTTTAGGTGCTAATTAGGTGCCAAGTTTAAAAATTAGGTGCTCTAAAATTTTCACCGCAACGAACTGTTAAAATTTGCGTTGCTAGCAAAACGTCTCGCTAGCAACGCAGTGAAGTTATTAGATATATGATAAATATTAATAGCAAGGAATTAAGTGCTAATTAGGTGCTGCAAGTATACCGTAAAACGGGGTGAATAGGCACGAAATTGAACTTCACACTAAAAATTTTCAATATTATTGTACAGATATGACATGTATGACTGCTTCTTATTTTCCCCGCCTGCGTATATTTTCCGAAAATGCCAAATAAACACTAAAAATGTTGTTATACACTAAGATATTATACGAAATATATGCCATTCCTATTCATACTTGAACCGGGGTGTACTGGAACGACAATGGGGTTAATAGGGAAAAAAGCACAGGGTTGTCAAAGATTTAAAATGAGATTGGGTGAAGGTTTATGGAACTTAAACCTAAATAATAAATTTTATGTCAGTAGTATATATATTTGGAAGAGTATAGGTAAATAAAAATGTATAGAGTAGAGAAAGGAATATATTTATTTAAAATTAACCAACACTTATTGTCAATAAGTAAAAAGTAAAAACTTAAACGATTAAATTTCTTCAGAAACAAACAAATCCTCTAACAAACAAAATAATTTATCAACTTAACAATCAACTGTTATAAAATTTGCAAAATATTTATTTAGATACAAAATAAAAAAGTAAGTAGTAATTGTACGTAATATTACTTAATTTTTTATTTTTTGATTATTTTTAATACCCATATTATTTATAAATATATTTATATTATACATTTTATACAAGTCAGTATACTCTAATTAATATTATAATCCATGAGATCTTCTAATATTTCTTCATCTTTTAAGTAATGGTTTCTATTTCTTGCTTTAGAGTTCAGATTAATTTTATCAGTCAAAGCCATTTTCTTCATATTTTTTAAATCAATCTTAATATTTTCTTTGGTTTCAAAATTTACAGCCGATTTTATAATTATCTTGTCTTTCGTATTCGTATTTCGTGCCTCTATTTTGTCATCAATATTTATCTTTATTTTTTCTTGATTTTCTTGCTCAATATCCGAATCTATCGGTAAGTATATATCACCTATTTCTATTTCGTTTTGAAAGCAGAAATCACCTTCGAAAAATAAAGGCATGTTCTCAATGTACAGTTCGTTTGTTTCTGCCAACTGACTAAGTTGAAAATCGTTAGCAAGCTCTTTTTCTGAATTTTTTATTTGAGTTTTTTTTCCTTTTTTGTTCATTTCTTTGTATTTCTTAATTTCATATGGTTTCTTAAACACGTCTTTCGTATTTTCATATTTGTTTATATTTTTGGTTAATTCAATAGTTTTCCCTTGTTGTTTACTTATCGATTGTTTAGAATTGTGAGGGACTGTTTTTCGCTTTTTTACTTCTATTTTGTTAATTAATAGCTCAAACTATTTTTCTTTATTGCATATTTTGCTTCAAATTTCCTTTTCCTTTCTTCTGGGATCTGTTTTGCAATTTTAGATTGCATAAGGACTTCATTTTTTTTTTGTTGGAACTAGTGACGTTAAAGTCGGCTATAATGCTTTGTGGTGGTTCTTCGCTTTCCTCTAAATCAAACTCACTAATATATCTATTTGGTTTTTGATCACTCTCTTTGTCAGACTCGTTTGGTTCAGTCTCGGTGGAAACACTTTGACCAGGCTTTACTTCAATTTTTTTTCTTCTATTAGACAATTTGTTATTATTATTGCCATATCGCATTTCTTTTAACATGGAAATAACTGTGTCATCAATTGCATCTTTACGGAAGTTTTCCTCATCATGAACAATGTTTCCTGGTAATCTTTCGAGAACTTTTTTTTAATTTAATGGACCCTATGCCAGTTTTCATAAACCCTGCCAATATATTAGACATAGCTTGATCTTCTATGCGACTGATTAATTTTTTCAGTAGACTGGGAAAAACACTTTTGGGAATGGTCGGCAAAGTTCGGCCCTCAGTTTTTTTCCACAAAAATAAAATATCTCTCCAGGCTCTTTAGGTGGGTCTAAAGAATGCAACATCTAGAGGCTACGTCAAGTGTGTTGAATTTGGAGGGAGGAAAATGAAATGCACGTTTTTATCTTTGCATTCTCGTATCAAATCCAGAGATAAATGGGATGAAAGATTATCGCCGATAAGAATCTTTATTCCGTCCATGCCATTAAAATATGATAATGCGATGGTACGAACCCAATCCTCAAAAGTGTTACTGTCAAACCATCCAGACGAGGTACAATTGTATCGACACCCCTTTGGCCCCTGCTCGATCCAAGATTCGTACAAATTTTTGCTTTGTACACCACATAACAAGGGAGAAGTACACCATCCGCAGATGCTGCCATCATTAATGATGTTGAGGCTTTGCTGTGGTTCATGACCCTCTCTGGGTATTTTGCACCTCTTTTTGTAAGAACTTTTCTCATACCAGGGTCGTCCGAGAGGTTCGTCTCGTCATAATTTATAATGTGCAATAAAGGCACTCCTGCTATAGATTTCTCAAGATGAGTAAAATATTCTTCTACAACTTCGCGTGAAACTGGCGCGCGTGATCGTTTAATGTTCTGACTTATTCTTAGTGGAATTTTGTCTTGGTTTCTTTTTAGGAAACTTTTTACATAGTCAGGACCTGGTAGATTATCTTTAAACTTTTTTACATTCACACCTATCCTATCTAAGTATCCTTTAACCAAAATCCGCAAATCGTAGGTATCTAATGGATATCTCCACTCAGAACAATAATTTATATTTTCTATAACATAAGCCTCTTCCTCGTCAGTTAATACCGTCCGACCACCTTGCTTTTTCATGAATCTTGTGTTGTGTCTGTGTAAAACAGATTTAGAAATATTATTTTTTTTTTTTTTTTTTTTTTTTATAGGAGAGGGGGCAAACGAGCATGCGGCTCACCTGATGGTAAGTGACTACCGCCGCCCATGAACAACCGCAACACCAGGGGAATTGCAGATGCGTTGCCGGCCTTTTAAAAAGGAGTAGGCTCTTTTCTTGAAGGTCCCTAAGTCGTATCGGTCCGGAAAAATCCCTGGTGGTAAACTATTCCACAAGGAAGTTGTGGAATAGTTTACCACATTATACTCGTATTTTGCACTAATATCTGCTAATGAACTATTTGATGTTTTGTATTCTCTAAGTGCAATATTTATCGTCTCTTCATCGTATTTTTTATATTGTCTAGCCCGTGGTTTGTATGTGCGAGGAATAGTTATCTGAAACAAAATATAATGAAAATTAGTTGCTTATAGCAGGTGAAATGGAACCTATAGGTATTATTTGACCTACTGTAAGTAACTAATTTTTAAACAATTTAAATCTATCTATACTAATATTATAAATTGCGAACTACTGACTGATTGACTTATCAACGCAGAGCTGGAACTACTGAAGCTTGAATCGTTTTTCAAAATGAGTCCCCCAAATGTGTAAAATACGGAATAAAAGGTTGTATGAGGCCTTTTTTCTGTAGACAGTTAAATCTGAGCAAAGCCGACTCGAATCGCTAGTACAAATATTGTATACATTTATAAAGCGACAACCCTGTTCCTATTTAAACTTTACTGTTTCAAGTAAAGTCATAAACATCCCTATTTACTTGTACTTAAGTTCCTATTAAGACTCAGAGAGTTCCTATTCGCCCTTCTGCTGTTTCTTTTATTCTCGTAACAAAACCAAAATAACAATATTTTAGATATTACAACATTGTGTGGATCTCTAAGGATAAATGATTATCAATTTAAAAACACTTTTGCTACGTTAACACAACAAGTTTTCAAATTCT